GCGCGCAATTATCTGTTTGCGACACAATATTTCAAAGCTGATGACTGGTTGAAGACGTCGTACATACGGTCACGTTATTGTAACCAATTTCTGAAGATCTTGGGGTAGTTGGCCAATATGGTGAAAAACAAATCAGAGAGTGCCCAACGTACGTATCATATTGAATATCAATTAAGATAGCTTACGTGATGACTCGACGGGTTTTGGGAATTTTTGATTGAAAATTTTGAGGAAATTGCCGCCAATAGAGAGTGCGTGTTTGGATGGTGTCTATCAATAACTAATGAGCTATGTGGTAACAAAATCTGAATATGACAGCAAAGATTTAAATTTGCCTGTGAGGATCTAACATTAAATAATGGCAATTTTTCTTCTTCTGCCAAACTGTTTTTCTCAATGCTCTCAATGAAAATCTCCTCTTTTGCTTCGTCAAATAATAATGATAGGCAGTTTTCCTCTATCCACGCAAGGTCATCATTCTCTCTTTTCCTTTTTTTGTCCGCTACAATTTCAGCACAGAATGGCATTTCGCCAGGATGAGTATTATCCATTACATTAGACTTTACATAAAAAATAAACATTAGACTGGTCGGATATAATAGATTCAAGGACGGAGACAACAGAAGCACTCACTTTTGTAGAAATTTTACTTGTCTTGTCATCTTCATCGTCATCTACTGTATACGAAAACATGAAAATTGAGAATTATTAAAACAACGATCTATAAAATAAAGATAACTAAAATAAAATAACCTAACCAAGGGAGGTATTCAGATAATGATTCTGATTTGTCCTAAATATTAGGTTGTAAAGCAACAGTTCAAAATATTAGTCTAACGCTAACTAATCCCTTAAAGTCAAGGTTGTGATTAAGAAAAAACACAGCTATCATAAAATTTAACGCCTACCTTTTTGTCATTTTTTTTTTGGTTCAATATATGAACAGAAGTTCCGCCATTAATGTGCCGGAATTGCCAACCAGATTGCCCGTGACATTTGAATTGTAGATGTTAACTGCCAGTGGTCTATTGGCGCTGTTTGATTTACGGTCTTGCTCCCACTTTCTTGCTAGTTTGCGATCAGGCATATTCTCCTAGCGTGGGAGGTTTGGATTAGTATGTTCCTAAACAATATGGCATAGACTCTTATCTGATTTATTCCCTGCCGGGTCAGCTCGGAGCCTTGACGTCAGGCAAACCTCGGAGGCAACCACCTGCGCCCCAACAGGATTAGTGCCAGAGCAGCTCGGAGCCTTGACGTCAGGTAAACCTCGGAGGCCACCTGCGCTCCAGCACCAATTTCGTGGCTCAGCTCGAAGCCTTGAATAACAGTTGAGCTCGGAGCTTCTGTCACGCCACCAATTTCCGTAAAATTTTCAAAAAATAAAGTCATGATACTCGCCTTCTTATATTAATCAAGTAACATGTGCGCTTTATCACGACGACAGCCTCTTTCGCGCGCAACGATGCCCTCGAGGCACAAAACGTAACATTCTATCTTCCGATCGAATGGTTCTAGATTGCATGCAGCTAAAAACCCTAGAACGTTCCAATCCGTGGACTTGCGCCTGAAATATTGATGTACTTTATGTCCAAACATGAACTAAAAGAAATACAAGTAAATCATTCGCGTCGGGCCATTTGAGTGACGATTACTAGCCGAACCAGTATTCCGGCGCAAGTTTTTACCAAATTTAATCGAAGCCGAAAGTGTAAGGCGAAAACAACGGGAAAACGTGTGTGTATAACAAGAGATTAGAGAAGTTTGTTTTTTTTTTTTCGTTGAAAAAATTTTCAGAAAACGCGCCAAATTCACTCACGCGTTATAAACACGATCACAAGACCATACTGCACGTGAAGTGAAACAACTGGTGTTCTAACGCATGAGAAGCTATTTACTATTTACTAGCGTCGTAAACAACCACGGATTTTGGGTTTCCAGCTTTCAGTCAATATGACATAATGAAAATTTTTTTAACAGCTTGTAGCTGGCGAAAGCTTTAATATCAACGTAAGCCTGTCAATAGGTAATATTAAAAACATATTAATATGGGAAAAACAACTCACTCTAGTAAATCTTAATGTTAAACTCACAAATTTCTCTTTAATGTTGGGAGCAGAAAGCAGTTTATTTTTATTACCAAAATGTGACTTCATATATTATTATAATCTATGTCACTTATCCAGGAATAAGCAAGTGACTCATATTAAACCTTTTGTAAGCAATAACATTTCTTGGTAGCACCCATTTAGTCCATGTCTTATTTCTATGACTGTATGTAACCATCAATGTTATCGAGCTTGGAGCTTTCCATTGGCATTACATACAACCATAATAATAACACTAGTTTGTTTATTTGATATTAATATTCATGACTAGATTCTGGTTTTGCGAGCCTAAATTGGACATACTTGACAAGGCTCAAAATTACAAACGTTTATCACTAGTATCCTATTCATGATCACTGGATTCAAATGTTAACGTCCTCCTGTAATGGAGAATTTACCAGAAAAATTAATTGGATAATATATAATATATGCTCAAACACGTCATTTTTTTTTTGCATTTCGAGTGATGCAATGCTAATTGCCTTACTGGAACATGCTGTCATTCCCTTTCTGACACCATTTATGCTTGACAGATTAAATGTATAACTTATAAATAAAAGCTAAAAGAACCATGTCCTATTTACACATTTACCTGTTTAAGCGTTTTTTTTTTGCTACGCAACGTTCATAACTGCTGTCAATTTGTTTTTTTTTTTCACTGCAATTTTCTTCTGCTCAATTGGAATTTCTTTCTCCACTTTCTTGCCTCAGCTTTAGGGCATGCTGCAACAAAACCAGACAAAGTGAACATTTGATTATGTGACATAAATGAGGGGCTAATTATGATGTGGCTGTAAAATTGACCAGTGTGACTAAAAAGTAATAATGGTGCTATCATCATAACTTATAGACTTGTTAATTTTAATGTTCTCTTTATCATACCGGAACGTGATGAATATAAACATAATTGGAATATAGGATTACCTCTATATATAAAAATGTTAATATGAAACTAATTTACATAAAATCTACCATGGGACCCAAGAATTACAGCACTATTAGAAGCATATTAAAGAAAGCACAGGAGAAAAAATTGCGCCTCATGTTTTTAAAATCAAGACAAACACTACAGCAGTATCTAGATCAAGAAAAAGTTACTATGAAATTTACCTAGAGGAACGGAAAATTATAACTACTAAACGAGCATTAATACCAACACAAGAAAGAAACGAAAACTTGAAGAAGGGTAAAGGAAAGTAGTTTAACGTAAAAGATCGAATGTCCTATAAACAAAGATCGTTCTTTATAGTCATGATAAAAGACTGCTTAAGCGCATCCGCTGAGCTTTGACACAATTGCAATTAACAACGTAAAAATATTTAAACTTTTCCACATAAGTATCGATGTCTTTAATCTTTTTGTCTTCATTCACACTTTTTATCAATTCAAGCTCGAATTGCCATAATAGATTTTTTCCGTGGGGTTGTTCTTCGAAGATAAAAATTTCTTATAGTAGAGGCAGCTAGACCGTTTCCTTTACCGAGTAATCCGTCGATTTCAATAGCCATCTCGTTAAATGAAAAATTCGAGTCCAACTCGAACCTTTTGTCAAATAAAATCTTAAACTTCTTCCACAAGTTTTCGGTTTCTGGTGGATACTCGTATTGGCCAATTTGCCTGCTTATCTTATATTTGTTCATGGACTCCACTAATTTGATTACTTTGTCGATTTTCTGATTTATAATACGAAGTTAATTATTGTGAATTTTATAATAAAGGAGATAATTCCGATCAATAATCCGAAAATAAATTCGCTTGTGAGAGCGACCATTTTAAAATGAAGAAGTCTGTTGGTTTGTAAAAGCAGTTTGCGAAGCTTTTTCGTAAAATAGTTTTGAGTCACGATATTCGAACTAAGCGTCGTGAATTTCTGCGCATCAACATTATGAAAAGCTGATCACATCGCGTCGTATCGAAAACAAAACACGAACAACCATGGCTACTTACGAGAAAGCCGAGAAAGCGTTGAAGAAGGCGGAGCAGGAGTATGAAGAGGTGAAGGCAACGTTAAAGAGACTGGATGACCTGAGGACTGGAACGGCACAGCCCAGGTGGAATGGCGAGCTGGCGAACTTGGAGAGAAAAGAAGAGAAACTGGAGGCGGATAAGCAGAAATGGAGTGACCGAATATACGAGGTGTTGAAGAGCGCGCAGGCTCAACCAGGTAACAACTTTGTGACTCGGGCGTTGAGTAGTGTACATAGGTAGAGTAATGATATAAGGTGGTTATTGGGACGTTACCACAGCCGTAGTTGACTTATCTTTGTCCGTCTCATCCATGCATCATATCTGCAGTTGTCTCAGCGAATCGAAAACGCAAATCGAATGAACTTTCACCCATTGACGAGGGTTCTGATCAACTCTGTCATATCTCTGACGAACGCATGGCGAAACTCAACAGTTACATAGATGATAATCATATCGTCTTGTTGCGAAGTCCACCCGGGTTCAGGCAAGACGACGCTTATCGATCTCTTCGGAAAGCACCTAGAAAAAAAAGGCTATATGGTTGTGAGCATTACGATGCTCGGCTTATTGGAAGTCGATGGCAGTTTGCTGCTCCGCTTGTACGTATTGTTATTGGACATAAACTATTCACCATGCCCTATTATGGTTTATATTCCTCACCTTCCGGTATGATAAAGTGAAAATTAAAAAAGGTCATCAGTTGCACTGGTCAATTTTACAGCCACATCATAATTAGCCCCTCATTTATGTCACATAATCAAATGTTCACTTTGTCTGGTTTTGTTGCAGCATGCCCATATAACAGTTTCTTTTTACGTGGAAAACAAAGTGTCACTGTATTTGTCTCACATAATCAGCATTATTTGACCGTAGTCGCAATACACCCCCCTTAAATGCAACACCTCGGGACCGAATGTTGCGTTGCATTTTGCATTTATGGAAGGTTTCCTTATTAGGAAAGACATTTTAATAATTTACAAATTTTCCTTTATTATACTTTCCAGCTAACTCTACGGAAAAAGTTTACTATACATATTCCTAAGAATTGTGTTATGCTACTTTGTCTCATCGAATTTACCCTTTTTTCGCGAATAAATTTCTCCAAACTATTAAACAGCTTTTAAATAGCTGCTGGTTCCCTCTTGTTGAATTAGAAATGCCTTTACGTTTTCAGTGCCTCATGAGCACTCACTACTGAGGTTTTATTACTATCATCATCGGTTTTTTCATCGTGTTCTTTATTAAATAAAGAAATAATATTATCATTTTCGGAAAGCTCAAAAACAATATCTTCCGCTGAAAAAGACAAATATTCATTTGTTGTCATTGCATCGAACAATTCAATCTCAGACAATTCATTATTCAACTTTTGAGTTTCATCTTTGATAGAATTATCATCACCGTTATTGTCCGGAAGAATTTTGGTAGCTTTCCAGCAATTAGAAATGACATCAGATGTAACATTATCCCAGGCTTGAACGATGTATTGTATTGCTCATTTTTCCTTAACAAATAACATTACGGGAATCACGTGAGTTGCACTTAGGGAAATAAATCTATTAGAACGGGACCGCAAAATCCGTTGCAATTGCAGAAAACGGGGGGTTGCATTTACTCACTAGGTCCCATGCTTGGGACCGAACAAAGTGTTGCATTTAGAGGGGGGATTGCACTTATGGGGTTTGCACTTATGGAGGTGTCACTGTACTTGTTTTTAATAGAAACTCGATTTATACTTGTAGACTCATAAGAATTTTTTTCATTTTCTATGTATCGCATTGATAATTTTCGGAGACTTTTTTTTCTAATTCTCACGCTTGAAAAAATGCTATTCGAATTAATGCAACTGGTTTTATTTTATATACCGTGAAACATGTATTAGTATGTGTCGAAACAATCAATTTAGCCATGCGGGGCTGGCCATAAACGTCATATACTTTTGCTATTGATTTAAGAAAGTAGACTGGCTTCAACAGCATTCTGGTTTCGTGTAATAAGTGTAAAAATACAAGCGTTGTGTTCGTAACCTCGCAAATATAATCAGGCATGAACAAAAAACGGACTAATGACGCGGTCCAAAGGAGCAATAGTTTTGGGGAATGAGATTGCGGCCTGTTTAACCACCCCAGTATTTTTGATTACGATTGGAAATGTTTGAGTTGCAACCTGGGTGGCTGTTTTACACAATTGATAGGTTTCAGACCCATCTGGCATGCGATTGGGTAGTATGAATTACTCGAGTAATTTGTTTCTCACCACGTTAGTTATTACATATCTGTTTCTACCAAATATTCTACTGCTACAGAAGGAAAGGATGTCACAGCTGACTAAAAGTTCCTGGATGGATACAGTTGAACACTCAGTAAACAAGGCATATAAAGGCTAACTCTATATCGTAATAGGATGAACTTACTACAAACACTATATTTTTAACCTTCGAACGTAAAATTTAGCTGAGGAAAAATTACGAGACGTCAGAGGATATGAAGTTGCGTTGCAGATTACAACTCCTCTGTATTGTCATCGTGTTGGATGATAAAAGAAAATACTTAATCTCGATATGCAAATCGATTCTCACCCTTTCTATCTTTCTGACATGTAATTCTGAAGATGAGACACTGACCACAAGAAGTGAATCAGACTGAAACAGACAATAAGCGAGGTTTGATAAATACGTGGATGGTATGCAGTAGACAATGATGATGTTGATAATCTGTATTGATACAGTCGCGTGATGGTTTGAAGCAAATTTTGAATTCGCCCACAAATAATTTCTTTCATGTTCTTTAATACGTGTCTACATTTGTTTAATTACAGTAGCTATAAGCCATAATTTCAAATAACAAAACAGCCAGGTCATAAAATTTTTAAACAAATTATTGATGAGGTTCTAGTACATATTAAATTAAATATTTGTCAAGCCAGGAACAAGGCACATTACTGCATGAAAGTGTTATCGTTAAATTTTATAAGTAAGAATATTTGTACATAAAAAACAGTTTAAAATAAATTACATGACGATACAATGAGACAAAAAACTAAATTTATATGTTATGCTAATACATAATACTAAACTGACAGCGTACGCTAAACATAACCTTGATAGCATACTGACATACAATAGACGATACACAAATTATACAGTGTTACCTATACAGGGTCGGATAACATCTTGCTGATCGAGAAACATAGCAATATAATTAACTTTTTTTTAACACGTGCTTACAGATTGTTTTTTATTATATCCCACATCTTATTAAAATATTCTGTGGGCATTATTTATTATGTCTGGTCTAATGTTGTACCGCCAGGATTTAGCTTACTTATGAGTATGACTCAAGCTTTTTACGCGATAATTGGAGCAATCATTGAACCGTATATACAGTGTGTTAAGAAAAAACACCAAACTATTTGCTATAACATTCAATCGTGCATACTGTACAGAAACTAATTTAGGCAATATAAAATGTAAAGGAATTTTCATTTACAGTCAAACCTCGTTATACCGAAGTGTCGGGGAGGCATCCACGATTCGGTATAACGAGACATTCGGTATAGTGAAGTACCTCCATATAACGAAGTTAGGCTTAAAGTCAAGCAATATTCGGTATAATGAGACTTATGTAAATATATCTTTATTTCAATTTACAATAAAACAGTTTTACTAATCAGTAACAAATGAATCTATTCGAGTTTGTTTTTG